TCTATTTTGGTACAGACAGTAGTTATTGCTGTTTTATGTTATGTAGACGCTGGATGGAATTTTATACAGAGCAGACTTTGTATCAAGATGACTATTGATAGTTGATCTTAAATCATCTGCAGAATAATTTGTATTACATGTCTTTACAGACGATGACATTAATTAGATTAATCTAAAATTCAGTCTGGTGATAGTGTTGAGTCAGTCAGTTGGAACTCTGTCGTCCAGAATAGGTTTTACGACCAAAACATATACGGAACAACAATGGTACAATGGTTATGCAATTCACTCATATATATATATATATATAAGAATTTATAAAAAACTTATACAACCTACCATTCAGTTTTTGGTTGGCGGAGGTAAGCAAAATTATGAGCATTTAAAAACAGCATGGAGTTGTGAAGATGAAATGAAAATGATGATCGATGATCATCTAGCTAATCAACAATTTTTTGTTTCGCCAAGCTCATTTTAGAGGTTTTGTTTCATCGGTTAATTGATTATGTCAAGTGGCGTTGTCGATTATGATACAGATTTTTACAGTTTTTCAGAAAAATCTAGACACTAAGAACAACAATTAGGAAAAACTGTAAAAATCTGTATCATAATCGACAACGCCACTTGGCATAATCAATTAACCAATGAAACAAAACCTCCAAAATGAGCCTGGCGAAACAAAAAATTGTGGATTAGCTTGATGATCATCGAGTTTCATATCCAGAAAATTTTACAATATCAGAATTACTGTCGGACTACCAAGTAAACATTGTGTAAACAAAATCGAGTTCACCTGGGCTAATATGAAAAATTAAATACGTGATCGAAAAGACAGGCGTGTTAAAGGAGTTCAATAAAAACAGCTCGTATTTCATCTTTCTTATTTCCATTTTCATTTCATCTTCACAACTCTATGCTGTTTCTTTGCTTACCTTTACCAACCAGAAACTGAATGACAGGTCGCATAAGTTGTTCTTTACTATAATTATGAAAACCGTGATTGAACATAATGCACAAACACAATTTCAATATACGTCTCAAGAGTTTTAATGACTGCAACGGTATATTGATTCAATCGTTGAAAAAAACGGTTACAGTTAAAACAGTGCCGCAGTAACACAATCGAATGCTTTTAACTGCATCAAGCTCTGACGTAAGAGTAGTCAAACACAACGATAATAAACTGTGCACCATCTCGTCTAATATTTTTCATATAAACTCTTTTACTTATATTTTTTTATTCGAAGCAATTGTATATAAGTAAGAATTAAATAGATAATAGTCATTATTCCAAGTGCAAGAAAATTCTTCCACAGATCCCAGTCACCTTTATAATCAATATGACGTTCTGTTAGTGTGTCTTCGCCACGATATGAGCATATACTGGTGGTATTGTTTGCTACAGAAGCACATAATCTGAGATTTGTAAATTCATTAATATTCAAACCGTATAGTGCATAGCGCAATATACTGAACCTATAATAAAGAACTCGGTGTGTTAAAGCAGAAGACTGCCAGATTAGCTCTAACCATTGCATCCAGTTTAAAGCACCAACAATACTTTTAAGATCAACTATAAAGCCACTGAAGGTCATCATAATTACATAGGTCATGCCAAGAAGGACACTAGCTACACCTAAACATGCGGTGAAAATAACTTTCTTAGGAGTAAATGAAAATGGTCGATTTAAAAAGGTTCCCTAACTTACCAAACACATCCACAGTTGCCGATAATAAGAAACAAAGTGAACATGAACACAGTGTGGTAATCAAAGTAAAACCTAGAAAAATAAAGAATTTTCCAGCTACAGGCTGAAAGTTAACCATATAATAGACAGTAATTGATAGGATAACTGCTGGAATAACTCTTAATGGAATCAAATCACAAATCAGTTTTGATATCATATATGTGGATGTACGATAGTAGCCACTTATATTTTCCTGAAAGAGAAAACGTGTAGATTAAAATAACTTGGTTTTGAGACAGTTGAGGATCACGTCATGAGTTGTCACAACATTGGTTAAAAAACATTTTTCTAAAATGTGTTCATTCGGTTCTATCTACGGAGCTGGGTTCATAAAAAACAGTGTAGGTTTTCAGACTTTATAGTTCCTTGAATATTGAATTTGAAGCGGCATCAGTTTTCAAGAAATAGCATTATCTTATGCATTTTCGATATTTTGAATTCAACTAAAATCCAATATTCTAGGCTTAAAGCTCATTTGTAGGAGCATCGAAAACTATACAAAATGCTGGCTTGTTTAAAAATTTTTTGAAATTAAATTTTTGTCTTAAACAATTAACTTTGCTTTAGCAGAAGTCAAAAGTTTTAGTTCAAACTCGTTTTTTTTAACAAACCATGCTTACATGAATAAATAGTGCACGTTCTTTCAAAAATAATTCAAGTGCAATTAGATTAACAAAGACTTGAAACACTGTAACAAGAAATATAGCACCGGCACGTTTTTGAACACCTTTATCCAGTGTATGATCAACATCAAAGAACACACAACCACAAAGAATAGCAAATACAACGCTAACACCAATTTGTGTTATGACCACAACTGGGCTTCGACTAAGATTCTGTAGAACACGTTGTGACAAATAATATAATTCATTGAATCGAGATTTTTTTGATAATTTTTTATATAAAAACTGATCTGATGAGTGATGATTCAAATAATTATCTGTTTCTTGTTGAACAGATGCCCATAAAGGAGATAATAAATATCTGTTATTCAATGTTTCAGCTAGTTTGTTTTGTATTGATTCTTGGTCTTCTTCTTTATCATCCTTTTAATAGAATTATAACATCAGCATACTGGAACAAACACCCACTTAACTACTGGCTGGCAACTCCTTCTACCCTGATCTCGATTCGATCCTTCTATTTTTCCTAATTTCGAAGAAATTCTTATCTTATTACGTACATTTCTGTTACCTCAGTTTTACTATTATTCAATATTGCTGATGAATGTCGATCACCTTGTACAATATCCAATAGAAAATCACATGGATTATCATACTGTTCACATGTTAAGCCAAACAATTCTGAAAAATACGATAAAATATCGGGAGCCGGTCCATGATAAATACTTAGTCCCATTGATAAAAGTAAAATTTGATCAAATAATTTGTAAATCGTATAACGAGGTTGATGTATAGCAAATATAATTGTACAGCCGTTTAATGATATTCCATGTAGAAGTTTCATTACTTTAATAGCCGTACTGGAGTCCAAGCCTAACAAAAAAATAAGCATAAAATTAAACGCGCTCTATCTTTTACTTCAGAAGAATGTCAAAAGTTCTTACCTGTTGTCGGCTCATCAAGAAAAATAATTTTTGGCGACAAAACAAGTTCCATTCCAATGTTTGTTCGTTTTCGTTCGCCTCCAGATATGCCTCGAATCAATTCCGTCCCAACTTTTGTATCAGCGCATTTTTCTAATGCCAATTGATGAATCACTCGTTTGACAATATCTGCTTTTTCTTGTTCACTTAAAGTTTTTGGTAAACGAACATTAGCTGAAAAAGCTAAATTTTCTTTTACCGTTAATCTATCACTGAGAATATCATCTTGTACGACATAACCAACGCGATATTTATAATCATCTGGACGTGCCTCACCATCAATCAGCACTGTCCCAGATAGACCATAAGGGTCTTTTCGACCAGCAAGAACATCCAAAAGGGATGATTTCCCACAACCTGATGGGCCTAAAATTAACGGACGTCTGTATGGGCAGCAGACTACACTTAAGTAAGCTCTTGAGCATAATAAAATTGTATCGGCTGCCTTATCCGCATTTCCTTCTTTATTGCTAAGACAAGACTAAGTTAGTCTTGTGCAGTCTGAAGTCGGCCTAGTTTCGAACTACTACTTACCAAGGATAGCATTCATTCCTGGCTTGAATATACCCGTAATATCATATAAAATTTGTTTATTCTTTCTGTTTAGAAATGGTATTTTCATATGTTTGTTGCAATATTCTCGTTTATTCACACTGTAATTAATATTATGAAATGAGATACTTGCGCCATCCACTATTGCAGTTGCATGACTATGATTATTTGAATTAGCATTCGGGAAACTGTGTAAGTCGTCATTTATTACGCGAACTCTCTTGTAAAAAGTAAACATTGTCTCACCTTCTACACACGTGAGGAGAAAGAAATACAGTGCATGTTTTGGTTTACTCGGTCCAGTGATTGCGTAAGGTATAACAAGTACAGTTTGCATGCAACATTGCTAGTTCTTTATAGCGGTATGCTCACGGATTGTTTTCCTTTGTTTTACCTACGAAAAGCACGTGATTTATCAAGAGAAAAACGGACTGTCACGAAAAGTATTTTTCAACCTCTTACATATTACTGTCTCACAAATTATTCAGAATTGTTTCCACAGCAACTTTACTTTTTTTAGATTTTTCCTCTCAAACGGTACAATAGCTCTGTAATACACTCATGTATTTTGTTTTTCACGTAGATGATACTTTTTTCCACATTTGATTTGTTCTGTAAACAGTATTTTGCTTTCTTTTCGAAATATTCTGTAATATTTGAAAGAAAAGAAATTTATTTCTATTTACTTAGAAATACTGAAGTAAGAACAAAATGTATATGTTTGGTAATAACCAAATCAAAATTTGAACTCTTCTATGATTTGTATATGTTCCATAAAGTTTATAATAAATAGTGAACCATACGAGTGAATGCAGACCTATTGTACCATCTCTTAGTGTCTATAAATGAAGGATTTACATTGATTGATAGAGAAATCCGATAGCTGTCATCAATTTCTTCATCTATTCTGAAAGATGAATCTCTCTGCTACAAATTACTTTCAAAGAATAGGTTAAGAACTTATTTTTTCTAAACGAAAAAAGTATTCTTTTTCCACTAGGTGGTATCGAAATACAGTTTTCAAGCTTGCTAAATCTATATCTCCCCCATCACATGAGATAAAATCCTCCGCAGGTTAGAGACTTACACTTCACAACAAAGTGCATGTGCGTCAAAGGCATATCATTAGGGGTGGCACTTTCTCGTGACGATCGTGGCTTTTGCAGTAGAGCGTGATGGGTCACGAACGTGGCTTTCCATATATGGTCGAGCAATTTTAATTGCCATTCGGTAGGCTGATGGAAAATTTTACTGCGCTCTCAGAGGGTTAGGTTTTCGCATTTTTTAATAATATCCGCAGCTATTCTGCTAATGTTCTTCTTGCCAAGGGCTACTTAACCTAAAAAGATGACACAAAATTGGTTAAACACTCACTACAGGCGGCACCCTCGTTAGCGCTTTATAGTTTCAGGCCATGGGTAGACGAATTTCAAGATACAAAGCTTTATAGTACAACGATATCCGCTTGATTCGTTATTTGTTTCCCGTTCCTTTGCTGAGTAAAGATAAAATGGTATCTTTTATTTCAAAAGAAAAAAGTAAAGATATAATCCATATCTTTTCTTTCGTAAGGAAAAGGAAAGCGGCATCTTTTCTTTTCCAAAAGGAAGAAAAGCGATATCGTTTCTTTTTTCTTAGAAGGTGCAAAAAAAGTCTTTTTCTTGCAAAAAGAAAAGACGTCGCTTTCCTTTTCCTTACGAAAGAAAAGATATGGATTATATCTTTACTTTTTGCTTTTGAAGTAAAAGATACCATTTTATCGTTACTCAGGAAAGGAACGGGAAGGTGCCTCCCCTAGTGACACATCCTCTTCGATGCGATAAAGGATTAAAGCTGTAAACTTTCATCGAATACTCACGAATACATGATTTAGGAATTAGAGGATCGAGAGGATGGAAGGATGGAGAGGATTAAATGCTTAAAAATTCGAGGAATAGAGTCGAGGAAGGTTAGTATGAGAGGGAGAGTCATGAGACAATCATTCGCTACCATTTTTTGGGTAGATCTAGAAATCTGAAGTTTGATGTACATCGGTCAATGCTCTAAACTCTAATCCTGTAACCCTCTCAATTCCCTCATTCCTTGAATCCTTAAATCCTCTCAATCCTGGAATCCACTCAGTTCTGCTGAAACATATATTCCGAGTCGTTCGATCACACTTTGCGAGGAAGCGTAACTCTCCATGACGTCGAATCCTCATTTTATCAGAAGTGAACAACCAAATGAAAACAAACAAAATAAAAAAGAATATAAAAATCTGTTGTATAGAACAGGTGTAATCAAAATAAGCGCGAAACAATAAGGATACAATGGTGCAGTAAAAAGAGCACATTTATTTTTCAACATGAAACCACTGATGTATGACTCTATCCCAAGTTATGTTATCGATCTATTGTATTCGCAGTGAAACAAGAGCGAAATGATTAATATACGAAATGAGACGATAAATACGAACAGCTGTGTTTACCAATTCTAGTATTATTTTTTCAATGAGATATCTGCTCTATTTTAAACACTTCACCCATAGCAGAGAATATAAAACGTGCAAAATCCAACGCATGAAAATTCTGCTATATAACAGGGAGTTGAGAAAGACACAATTTAAAGTAATACGACAATTGCTCGATGAGTATTCTCGTCTAGTGGAAAGGATATAAAGCAAATAACGAATCAAGCGGATATCATCGTACTATAAAGCTTTGTATCTTGAAATTCGTCTGCCCATGGCCTGAAACTATAAAGCGCTAACGAGGGTGCCGCCTGCAGTGTCCAACCAATTTTGTGTCATCTTTTTAGGTTAAGTAGCCCTTGGCAAGAAGAACATTAGCAGAATAGCTGCGGATATTATTAAAAAATGCGAAAATCTAACCCTCTGAGAGCGCAGTAAAATTTTCCATCAGCCTACCGAATGGCAATTAAAATTGCTCGACCATATATGGAAAGCCACGTTCGTGACCCATCACCCTCTACCGCAAAAGCCACGATCGTGGCTCATCGCACTCAGAGGGCTAAGGACGCTCACTAAGATGTTCAATTATGCTCAGGTTTTTACTCATATACAATGCCCATTCTGCATTTTACGGTTGAAAAAGAATGGCCTTGTGACAAAAAAATTGAGAATACACCTTGAGTGAAGAACAAAAAGTATTGTTTTTTGTTATCAGTGTTAGACACATATAAGTAAAGGCATTTTCTTATTTTTGTTTGATAAAAACAAAAACAAAGTTTGTGAAAATATATTAAAGTTTTAATTATAAATTTTATTAAAAGATGCATGACCATAAAACTTGGGTTTGGTCTATATTACAACGTATAAGGCAAATGAACTAACACGCATTATCATGTATGCCTAAGCGCATCTACACTTAAAATAGCTCCATGGCATGGCTATGGCATATAAGGAATTCAGTGTAAATCCTATGAGGCTCACTAAACATATGAAAGTAGTTAATATCCTAATAATATAGCACCTGAGTTATCCTTGACACTTAAACACATTTTACTAGTAGAAAAACTGGAAAACATTGATGACTTTACAATTACCCAGCTATATAAAATAATCATTGAATATATCAAAAGTATCCAACGTTTCTAACTCACTTCTGTTTTCTGAGATATACCATCATTCTCTCATGCACCTGCTTTTCTTAGCTCGTTTCTTCGCTTTCAGATGCATCTTTTCCCTCTTTTCATTTTTCTTTTTTTCTGTACAATGTAACATTGGCAAAACAAAAAGATATAATGGGTTCGTCTCTTTCTTCTTGTTCTGTTCTGTTTCATTTTCTTTTTGTACACCATGTTATACTTATCAAATAAAGCTTATATCAATTCAATCCTGTTATAGTGACGGCGGCTTAACGTTATCAAGCTACAGCTTAACATTATGGAAGCCGTGAAAAGTCGCATTGGCGAAAATATTCACCGATGCGACTTTCCCCGGCTTCCCTTATTATAACGACTTTTCTACGAGGAATATGTTTTATCAAAATTTTCTCCGTTATAGATGGATGGAGCTTATCGAGTTACATACAAAGAATCATTTAGGGTAGGGCGGTGACAGTTACCGGTTACCGTTACAGTAACTGTAACTGCTAACCGGTTACCTTTACTGGCAACGGTAACGGGTAATTAGTTGCCGTTCCAAGTAATGGTAACTATCGAATATGTTTAACAAAGATAGAAGAGTCTAATGCGCCTTCTACTTGTACTTCGAGATGTTGATGGATGTTTTATGTACTAATTCATTTTAATAACTATATTAATTAATGATGAAACCAACGATGCGAAAAGAAATTGGTAATTTAGATAGTGGCGGCGTCAGGGCAGGGCTAGGATGGGCTGAGCCCAACCATCCAAAAATTTGAAAACAGAGTACTCACTAGCAATAGTCACGTAAAAATTCTGAACAGATTTTTGAAAAATTATGAGCTGAGCCCGGGCACCCGAAAAAAAATCCTGGCGCCACTAAATTTAGATTGAAAAATGGGAAAGATTGAGAGAGGGTGGAATAGGGATACACCAAACCCGAACGTTCGGGCTCAGTAGGCGTCTCGATTCGGTTCGGGTTCGGGTTCGAGATTTAGAGTGAGTTCGGGTTTGAACAGTTCGGAAAGTTCGAGTTCAAGTTCGGGCTTGGATCTCCTAGTAAACTAACACGCACTATTGTTTAAGATTGAACACATGTCACATGAAGTCACATGAAGAAGAATGTAATAACAGAGATAAGATCCGTAGCAATGTTAGACTCCTTTCACATTGTATATCCTGGTTTTCTTTCTTTTTTGTGTTATAGACACACTGTTAAAATCTTATTCATTTTATAACGTATTTAATGTGTGATATAGTGTTTAGCGAGGTTTACAATTTATCACACATGAAGCTTTCCCGTAAGAAAAACCTGTGGAAAATGTCATATATTATCACGTTATAAAGCGCATGGAGTTTTTGTTCATTACATAACGTGATAACGTGTACCACTCCATGCGTTATATAACGCCA